AAACCGTGCTAGGTGAGGGCCTCGATGTGCGTGGCTCGGGAATGTCGCAATTGGTGCGGGGCGACTCGGGGCTGGTTCGGTGCGAAAGTGTAGGCCGAGCCACACTGACGCGAACTGCTCGGGGCTGTCCTCGCTAGGAGCTGCTTCTACAGTAATGAATTCATATTCATTACACTCTCCCACCTTCTAAATAAGGCGCCGTTATACGTAAGCGAGTCTTGCAGTAGCGTAAAAACTGCAGATCTCGGTCGAAAACCAATCTGACGGTGCGGAAGCGTTGTTGACTTTCGGGTTGACGCGTGGCTGAGCGCGTTGACCAGGCGAATTTCAGAGAGTTGGAATGTCAGCCGTTTGATACTGTCGATGTCGATCGGGCGGTTGAAGGTGAATGACGAGTTGAAATCTTTCGACGAAAGAAAGCCGTCGATGTAAATCGTGCGGTGGTGACGCTGGCGATGCTGGCGAAAGTTCTGACACGCTGTCAGATGTCAGTGAATCGGGAGTCGTCGATGCCGATGAAGCCATCGCAAGCGTCCGTCGTGCCGGATTGTCAGACGAAGCTGTCAGAAGACTGACAAGCACAGAGCGAGAATCACTCTCCCTCCCCCCCTTGAAGAAAAGGGTAGACCGTACTGTAGGACAGCTGCGCGGGCAGAAAACTCCAGAAATCCCATCCGCCAGGGGGTAATCCGAAATACCAAGTGTTATGAACCCCGTCGAAGTTTTAGCAGCTGCACTATCGAGAAGTAGCTGGTGGCGAAAATCATTGTCGTGACCTGGTAGAACTCTTCAGGGTAACCCGCGAAGTCCTTTTTAGAGGGTAAAGGCGTTGGGCACCAGGACTCGAAACCCTTGGAAAATATATTTTCCTGCAGAAAACATTCTTCTTGTCGTGTAGGCGCGACTGCTGCCGAATCTCCAGCTGTCAGCTGCTGCAATCCGAAATTGCTGCTGTTTGTTGTCGCGTTGCTGTGGCGAAATCCTCGCTGTAGTTGCTCCAGCTGTCGGTGCCCCCGGCAGTCTTGTCCAGACTCGCCGAGGCACTTGCCGCGTTGCTCTGAAAGCTCCCGGGCAGGGGCGAAAACAGCTGCTGCACTTCCTCCTGACCGCCTGCAATATTTTTTCAATGTTGAACTCGAACTGCCGATGACGTCAGCTGCATAGTCGGTGTTGTCGTGACTCGCCGAAAACCTCCGGGCAGAGGCGAAAACAGCGGTCGCCTTCTCCCCCCCCCCCCCCCCTTGTTGCAAAATGCTCTCTCGTGTTGCGACTGGTACCCCCCGAACAGCCTCCGAATGTACGGCTACAAATTTGACGACGATTGCCTTCGCGTGCTTAATCAAGCGACGCTGCAGTCGGCCGTCGGCACGGATACTGTCAGCGATCCCGCTGACTCCATTAAAACTCTTCTCGGAGCTGCTCGTTGCACCCGAAAATGTCGGAAATTAACACACCCCGTAAAAATCTTGGCCGTCTGCAGGTTGTCCTCCGAAAGAACCGGTGTTTCTAGCACGCTTACCCGGTCACCATTTTTTTCGTGCGGTTAACCACCCGAGCCATCCACCCACAAGAGGTGCTTTTTCGGCGTATAACCCAGTACTTATGGGTCTTCCGAGACCGATTTTCACGGACCCTAGCGCGCATCAACGCCGCAGATCTCGCCGCAGAACTCCCCCAGACTGCTTCGAAGTACACCGTAAAACGCTTAAACACCTGGCGAGCAGACGTTCATCCGTCTCCCACCGTCGAAATTACACCCGAAAATCATGGTTGTTGAAGCAGTCCCGAAGTATTTTCCGCCGCGTAACCCCGACGTTTCCGCCGTTAACCCTGGTACTCCGACGTTCACCCGTCTTCGCACCCGTCGAAATTACTTAGCGAATCCCAGGTATCCTTGGCGATGCACCCCTCGCCGCGCCTCCATGTTATTATATCAAACCCTTTCGGGGGTCTACCGAATAGACTCCGAAATTCGCGGTGGAGTGGTGCACGTTCTCAACCTTTCACTCTGGAGATCTGCTGGAGCACCCACAAATTTCCCTCCATTTGTTTTTCTGTCTTCACCCCCCGACAATTTCGCTTGCCGCCGTTCACCCAGCGTCCGCTTTTGTCGGATGAGGTATAACTCCGTGTTGCCCGCGATTTTTCTGACATTCGGTGAAGGCGCGAATGCCATCGTAGCCGGATCAGGTTTATCGGATCAAACCGTCGGGCCGGCCGCTTCGTTTGCCCACCGCGTCTATCGCTTTTAAAAACGCCACAGCTTCGGAATCCCTTTTTTCGCCGCTACACCGTCGTCGGGTAGACCGTTGATTCAGGAGAAACGCCGACAGCTGCCACAATTTCTTCAGTCCGTTTTTGTCAGGGTAACTGTCGCCGATGGTCCGTTTTTGTCGGGGCCGAACAGTGCCGCACCACAAAATATTTCTTGTACGCCCTGCCGTCGAACCAGCGTCACCCGCGCCTTTCTAACCAGCACAGGGCTAAACACAGGGCCCCACCTTTGGATCCAGTGGCTCTTTGGTCTACCATTGCCTTCGAGGCCTTTTGGGCGTGGGGTATGCGAAACGTCGGTGGACTTTGGCCGGTAGGGAGCTCCTTCTGCTACCGCCGCTTAGCCGCAAAACTCGGCCTCAGCAAAAAGTCGTCGCAGTAGGTCGTTTTCTCCCCTCCTGAAGCTCGAAATCCGTTTCTCTCGCCAGACCCGTATTTGTCGCAACTCCGTTTATTGTAGCCGGTAGACCAGGCGAAATTCGCGGGTCTAGACGCTGCGATAAACCGTTGTCCTCGTCGGTGTACTGCCCCGTCTGCGACACAACTTCCCTTGATCAGGGGGAAACTGTGCCGCCTGAAGTACAGTGTCGGCTGCTGCTGTTGCTCCGAAATTTTCGGCCGACGTTGTTGCAGGCGCAGAAGTGACCCTAACGTTGACAGTCTAGTCGTAGGCGGCCTTTTCTGAACTTTTCGGCGATTTGAAAATGACTTCCGTCCTACACTGTGCTGCTCCTGCCGAAAACGCCAACGACGCACCCTCCTGTAGCCACACCGGCCACACCCGGGCTGGACGACGGTAGACCCCCGCTTTCTTCGGGCAGTCGTCACACCGTCACTCCGCGCCGTTGTGTTTTCCGACGCAAATCACCATGCGCCTGGCTGCTCGCACAGCAGTCGTTTTCCACGTGCTGCTACCCGAAATCTTCGCGCACAGTGACCACGATCGTCACTTGCCGAAGACCTCCAACGGACTTCATGCGCATCGTGACGAAGATGCTCGACGCCACATGCTGCACGTAATCCGCTCCAAAAATCTCGTGCGCAGTTGACGACCACGTGCCGATGCCAACTCGCACGACAGACACTTCCGACAACTTCGGACGTGCAGTGACGAGAATCCCATCGACGTCAGCTGCCACACAGCATTTACTCCGAAGTTGACGAAAAAAACGACCACAGTTAACTCACGCATTAATTGCGACGACAGCAAAAGCTGTCCGCCACCCGGGGGGAGGGAGGCCACGGTCGATCTTGACCGTCGAGGGCAAGGATCCGTCGGTGCAGCAGGAGTGCCAGTGAATTTCATGGCCGCAAGGAGCAACTACCCGTTCTCCTGGCCGGCTACTGCGCTACTCCTGTCACCACGGCATCCTTCCCTGTCCCCCCCCAGAGGGATAATACACTCTAAAAAACGGGGAACCTAGGAACTTAGGCTCTGATACCAAGTGTTATGAGTTGTACTAAGAAGAGTGCGCGGAAGACTTTATAAAAAGGATGTTGAATACAGAATGCCGAGAATGATAAAGAAGCATGCATTTATAGGGTCGAAACCGTGCTAGGCGAGGACCTCGATGTGCGTGGCTCGGGAATGTCGCTATAAGTGCGGGGCGACTCGGGACTGGTTCGGTGCGAAAGTGTAGGCCGAGCCACCAGGGCCTATATTATCAGGATAATTTATCCTGATTCTCCTGAATTCAGGATAGGTGTCGTGTGCTTCTCCTGAAAAAACAGCATAAGGGAATATCTTGTCCTGTAAAATCAGTATAATGGTTATTTTACGTACTGAAACTTCAGGATAACCCTGTAGGTTCGGCCCTGACGACTCAGGATAGTGTCGAATCTCGCCCTGAAGCGAGATGTACTGTACCAAAAATCTCCTGTACTTCGGGGCGAGCACCCCGAAACAGACCCCAAAGAGCCAGCGGGAATCGAGCTGGCGACCTCTTGTGTAACAGACTGGCAATCCACCCACAACCGCACTTCATGTGAGATATGACGGAGGACAATTACATCAGGAATAATACTTGCGCCACTTCTGTTAGCCAATTTTGGCCCACGATGTCCACTGCCACCTTCGCCATCAGCTTGTACTGGGTTGTAACAGTTTCGCACTATGCAGCTGCCAGCGACTTGCACTGCCAGCCACTTGCAGCTGCACCCCAGCATTACACACTTCGAATGTGGAGAGCATTTCGAACCCCGCTAACATAACACGCGCGAAATATACAGGGTTGTACAAAATGTAGCACTGAACTGCCAGGATACAGTCAAATTTCGCACTGACATTTCAGGATACCTCACCCTGTGCAGCCCTGACAATTCAGGGCAAATTCTGATTTCCTAAAAACTGCCCTGAGGCCTCAGTGTACCCCCAAACCAATCTGAGGGCCTGCGAGCCACACTGACGCGAACTGCTCGGGGCTGTCCTCGCTAGGAGCTGCTTCTATAGTAATGAATTCATATTCATTACAGTGAAAGAGCCAGAAGGTAACTGTCACGAAATGTGCTTGTGAGGCTACTGGCAGACGGCCATGGCGGCGAGCTCGAGGTACTCATTCTCATTGTTCGCGGGAAAACTAGGGCTGAAGGGCCGGGCGGACCCCCGCCTGCGAGGGTGGTAGACGGAATTGAGCCCAGTGCCCGATCGGTCGCGTCGCGCAAGTTCGTCTTTGGTAAAGGTGCGGACAAGCCAGTCGATAGTTTTGAGCCACGTCCAGATATAGCCGATGGCACCGCGTAATTTCGTCCCACGTACTTCCTCCCACGTTTGTGTGGCACGGGCGATCTAGCAGACACGTGGTGGGAAGGACAAAAAAAATCGAGCAGCGCGCCGAAGGACGTCCCAGCACGCGTCACCGCTGATCACTCCTCGTCGTCTCGCCTCGCGTCCCCTCGCCGCACCAGCCCTGCGTGGCGGTGCGCCCTCCCGCCATGCAGCCACGCGCACCCTCGTCGAGCGACGCGCGCGACCGAGCGACGTTCACAAGCCGACTCGACGCCTCGGCTTTGCACCGCGCGCTCGCATTGCCGTCGTCGGCAGCAGCGCCCGACGCCATGCGCGCTGGCGCCGTGAGCGGTGCGCGCGCCACCACCACCAGCAGGGGCGCGGCCAGTAGAATCGGCAGCGCGGGGAGCCTCGTCGACGGATCCGCCGCCCGGCCGCGATTCGCGGGCCGGCGCCGGCAGCCGGGGTCCGCCCGGCCTGGTGGGCACTTGTTTCGGTCGCGGCGGCGGCGCGTGCTGGTGCTGTTCGTCGGCGCCATCGCCGCCCTCACCGCCGTCAACGTGCTGCTGCTCCGCTCGCGTAATTCTCTCAGAGCAGCGGATATCCGAGATTACAATAACGAGGATTTGAGCGACGAAACAGATAGCGGGGAGAGCGACAGCGAGTACAGGCTGAGCGGCGACTCGTCGTGGTGGTCGTGGCGGTGGTGGAGCGCGCTGAGGGGGAACGGCGGCGGGCAGCGGCGGGCGCGCGCGTTGAAGGCGTACAACAACTCGGACCCCGAGCCGGACGCGCGCATCAGCGACGCCGACGACCGCTTCATCGACGCCACGCTGCCCCTCCACGTCGCCGAGCCCGCGCGCGCGCGCACGCGGGGGAAGGCGGGCGGCGGGAAGGGCGGGGAAGGCGCGGGGGAGAGCGGGGCGCGCGTGCGGCTGGAGGACGTGCTGCGGTTCAACGTGATGGCCGCGGGCAGACGGTGGGACCGGCGCGTGGGGTGCTCCAAGTTCAGAGCCAAACACAACGGTGCAGTGCGCAACCCCATGGCCCCACCCCACCCACCAGCCCCATCACGCGCTGCTACTCCCTTCCTCCAGCCCCTCTCCCCACCACACACCCATCCAACTACCCCATCGATCCATTCCTTCGCCCCGCCGTCGTCGTACCTCCACCCCTGTTGCTGCCCGCCCACGACTCCCGTGTTGCCATGCCACCCACTCCCTCCCTTTTCCCTCTTCTCCCCTCCTCTCCCTCCTCTCCCCTACTCTCCTCCTCCTCTTGCGCCCTCCTCACCGTGAATCAGCCAGTGGGTGTGTCAAGCCAGCCCACTCGCGCCACCATTGCCGCATCTCGCCTGCCCGTGCACCTTGTGCTGCCGCTACCTCACACACAACGCTCGTGCTCTTGCTGTCAGAGCTGTTCCTGCTGCTGCACAGCACCAACAGCCGCAACCAGCCGTGCATCAAGGCTGCTGGATAAATCGGTGTCTTCCATGTGTGTGTGTGCCTGCATCCACATCTGTATGGTGTCTGCATATGTGGGCCGGTGTGCTTGCATGCGGCTGTGTGTACGTACATGCATGCATGTATGCACGTGCCACCAGCCTGCATCCATGAGTGGCGGCCGTCGGACTGGCAAGCACCATCGCCCAGCCTACAGGCGCCCATCAACCCCGCGCACTGCCACCGCCTCAAGCTGCCACACGTCACCGTGCGGGTAAGTCAACCGCTGCTGCCACCACATGCGCCACTCACCACCTGCACCCAGCACGCACACATGTGGGTGCCATGCCGTGCGCACACTGGTCCCCCGCGCCATTGCTGTGAGGCAGTTGTGTGCATGGCAGCCCATCGCTGCTGCACCTTCCCCCACACACACTCCTCGCCTCTCCCCATGCGCCCCTCCCAGTTCCCTCTTCCAGTTTCTATGCTAGAATCATCCGCTGCAGCGCACACAAAGGAGCACCGCAGCCCTCTCATACGAACTCATACCCCCCATTCCCCTCCACCTTTCATCTCTCCTACCTCACCTCCTTCCCTCACACCTCCAACCCTCCTTCCCATCCCACCCCCGCACCCGTGGCTGCAAGCACCAGGTGGAGAACAGCACGTGGCTACACGAGACCATCATAGAGGGCGTGCACGCGTGCCACCCCTGCCCGCTCTCCTGCTCCTTCACGCGTGCGCGCCCCCTCGCCACGCACCCCGATGCACTGCTCTACGAGGGTGTGCTGCCGCCCTCGTCCTCTGCCCACGGCCAGCCCCTGCATGTGTACATGAACCTCGAGGCCCACCCGTGGGGGGAACCCGCAGCGGGGGAGGGCGGAGAGGGGGGGAAGGGAGAAACGGGAAAGGAGGGAAATGAGGGCGCAGGGGGTGGTGTGGGAGTGAGGGCGGGGGTGGATGTGTTTGTGGGTTACAGTGCGAACGCCACGGTGCAGGCGACATATGCGGGGCACCTGTTCCACTGGGACCGCCAGCGCTACATTGCCGACAACAAACGCACTGTCAGCGCCCCCGCTCTATCCTCCGCCCCTTTCTCCCCTCGTCCAGTCATCCTTCGCTCTTCTCAACCCCCCTTGTTCCTCCTTGTCAGCCTCTCAGTGCCTGCTGTCGTGTCATGCATCCCTCTGACTGCTCCCCTGCTTCTGCCTGTCGCGCACAACCAGTGCCGCCCTCCCTCGTTCACAGCCAATGTACCTCCCAACCTGCTTCACATGCATCACCGCGCTCCCTCCTTTCCCTCTCCCCCACGCCCTTCTTCTCCTCCCCATCAGGACGTGCCAGTGTTCCACGCGGCGTCCAACTTCGTGCCATGGCGGTACGCGCTGGTGAAGCAGCTCATGAAGCACGTGCCCATGCACTCCTTCGGTGCATGCCGCTCCACCACCGCGCAGCACGGCACCGAGCTGCAGCTGTACCCGCACTGCGCGCACACGTACGGCGCGCAGGAGCGGTGGCAGCACCACACGCACTGCGTGCAGTCGCACTACCTGTTCGCGCTGGCCATTGAGAACACACGCGCGCCCGGCTATGTCACGGAGAAGTTCTTCTACCCGCTGGAAGCCGGTGAGCATGCGCACTGGCAGGGCGGTGTGCGGGGCCGCATGGCACAGGTGGGGATGTCCGTGTGATGCCATGAGGGCATGCAACACTTTCAAGAGAATTGTGTGCATGTGGAGACACATAGTTACTGCCACTGCTCCTCTCCTCTCTATGCACTGCCGCCATCGTCTGCCTTCTTGCTTACCTCCCTGCCCGCCTGCCTGCCCACCTCCCCTGCGCGTGCTGCTGTGCTGTATGTGGTGCACTGCGCCCATGCACACGTGGCAGGCACAGTGCCCATCTACATAGGAGCGCCGGACATAGCAGCGTTCGCCCCGCCCGACTCGTACATTGACGCGTCGGGGCTGTCGCCCGCGGAGGTGGGCGCGCTGGTGAAGCGCATCGCAGCAGACCCCCTCGAGTACATGGGCTACCACGCCTGGCGCAGGTGCTCGCCCTGCCCGCCATGCCCTCCTCTCTCCTCTCTCCTCTCTCCTCTCTCCTCTCTCCTCTCTCCTCTCTCCTCTCTCCTCTCTCCTCTCTCCTCTCTCCTCTCTCCTCTCTCCTCTCTCCTCTCTCCTCTCTCCTCTCTCCTCTCTCCTCTCTCCTCTCTCCTCTCTCCTCTCTCCTCTCTCCTCTCTCCTCTCTCCTCTCTCCTCTCTCCTCTCTCCTCTCTCCTCTCTCCTCTCTCCTCTCTCCTCTCTCCTCTCTCCTCTCTCCTCTCTCCTCTCTCCTCTCTCCTCTCTCCTCTCTCCTCTCTCCTCTCTCCTCTCTCCTCTCTCTCACACGTGCCACAGCTCTCTATTCCCTGCAAGGCCTCCTGCTGCACGCACGTGTGCAGGAGTGCGCCTTCCTGCTGCACCCCCCCTGCTGCACGGCTTTCCTTGCCTCCATCATGTGCTGCAAGCATGCGTCTCCCATGCCCATTGCCCACCTGCACCTGCACACATGCACATCACCTCTCTACCATCGGCCTTCCCTCCCCTCCACCCTCTTGCGCCCACACCTCCTTTCCTTGCACACACATCTCTCCCCTGATGCACGCTCATCCCCATGGGCCATTTGTTCCCCCACTCAAGACTGCTCCGCTCCCACTACCGCCCACATCCTTTCCTCCACTGCCCCGCCCGAGGTGGTGCAGGTGTGGAGTGTATGGCAACTACTCACGAGCGCGCCAGATGTCCCTAGACACGCTGCCGTGCCGCCTGTGCGAGCACATCAGCCTCATGGGCGGCACCCACCACCCACGCCCTTGATACTGCACCGCATGCACGCACGCACGCTGCGTGCCATGCGCGCATACGATGTGATGGCGTGTGTGCAGTGCATGTGCGGTCCTCTGCCAGGCATGCTCATGCTGATGACCTGGGCCACAGGTGCGAGCTGTCAAACATTATATATGTTGTATTTGTGTAGGCTGTAGTGGGTTAGCCTATAAGGGGGTCACAACTCTAGGGTTTCCTATTTGTACTCCCATTCCAATCTAGTCCAACACTCTTGTTCATTCTAACATGGTATTACGAGCCTAGGTTAGGCACCTAGGACCGCCTCCTACTACGGGCCCACCGTTCCGTTAGCGCCCTCGTGCGCCTCTCTCTACTCGTGCGCCCTCGTGCGCCCTCGTGCGCCTCTTACTACCGTGCGCCCTCGTGCGCCTCTCCCTACCGCGCGCGCGCGGCCCGCTAGCCACCCGCGCGCGGCCTGTTTTTTTTTTGCGCGCGACCCGCTAGCCGCCCGCGCGCGGCCCGTCAGCTCCCTGAGCGGCCAGCGCTGCTAACGCGCGGCCCGCCGCGGCCCCGCCGGCCCGCAGCTCGCCGCCTCGCGCTGCTGCCGCCCGTACGCAGGCCGCAGCCCGCGCGTTGCAGTCGGCTGCCTCCGCGCAGCTGCCGCCCGCGCGCAACCGCCTGTACGCCGCTGCCGCTGCCGCTGCCGCGCCCGCTGCCGCTGCCGCCCGTACGCCGCTGCCGACCGTCGACCCCGCCCGCGCCCCTCCTAGCGGCCCCGCCGGCCTGTCGATTCCGCCCGAGTCCCGCCTAGACGCCCCGTCGGACCTGTCGACCCCGCCCGCACTCCGCATAGAGGCCCCGCCGGCCCCGTTGACCCTGCGCACAGCTTCCCAGCGGCCTCGTTACTACTGCTACTACTGCTACCGCTACTGCTGCTACTGCTACTGCTACTGCTTCTTTGGCTACTCCTCTTGTACTCGCTTTCGATGCTGAGGGCCGCCCAGTGAAGTTCGACACCTGGCTCGATGACCTGCACCTCTTCCTACAGCTCACTGCCAAGGAGGACATTTCACTGTACGACAACGCCCTAGGCCATGCTACTGCCCCTCCTACCACTGCTGACAGCACTCAGCGCTCACAGTGGCAGACTCGTGACGCCCACGCTCGCTTTGCCATTCGCAACTCCCTGCCGCTAGATGAGCGCGAGCACTTTGGCCATGACAAGACTGCTAAGGAACTGTACACTGCTGTCGTCGCTCGTTACTCCTCACCTGCTTCTGCCGCACTAGGCCGCCTCTCACTCCCCTACCTGTTCCCCGACCTGGCCTCCTTTCACACAGTTGCTGACCTCATCACCCACCTCAAGACTAGTGAGGCCCGCTTCCGCGCTGCTATGCCTGACGAGTTCCTTGCTAGCAACCCCCCCCCGCTCTGGCTCACTCTCTACCACATTGTCACCCGCCTCCCTGACTCTCTGCGCGCAGTCAGGGATCACTTTCTAGCTCGCTGCCCCACTGAGCTCACCATTGCCCTCCTCGAGAAGGAACTACTTGCAGCTGAGGCGAGCATCGTCGCTGTAGGTGCCTCTCGTGGCGACCCCCGCACCCCTTTCTTTGAGGGGTGTTCCCCTTCCCCCCTTCTCCCCTCTGTAGCCTCTGCTTCTGCTGTCGACCTCCTTGGTGCTGAGAAGGTCGGGACCGCGTCTGCTCCGAGCGGGCGCCGCAGGAACAAAGGGGGCAAGGGTGGAGGTGGCGGCGGGGGAGGCGGGGGTGGAGGCGGTGGGAGTGGAGGAGGGGCTGGAGAGGCTAGTGGCGGCAGTGGGGGTGGTGACGGCAGCGGCGGGGGCGGTGGCAGGGGCGGGGGCGGCAGCGGGGGCGGAGGTGGTCGTGGCAGCGGCAGGGGAGGAGGTGGTCGAGGAGGTGGCGGCGGCGGTGGTGGTCGTGGAGGCACTGGCGGTGGTCTGAGCCAGCAGCACACTCCGTCGCTCCAGGAGGCCCGTGAGTGGTATTCCCAGCGCCCGGGGGCGCGTGGCTTTAGCTGCACGTACGTCATCCGCACTGGTGACCGCACTGGTCAGACGTGTGGGAGGCCGCACCCCACGCAGCGCTGTTTCTCGCGCCTTGACGACGCTTGGCGCGCTCAGTTCCCTGATGGCGCTGAGCTGCCCCGCTGGGCTGATCTGGAGAGGAAGGGAGTTGATATCTGGGCTCTAGACTTTGATGCTATTCTCACTGCCATGTATGCGATGTTTACTAGTGGAGAGGGTGCTCAGTACTTGCGTGTTCCGCCCGACCCGGGCATTCTGACCAGTGAGGCTGCTGCTCTAGGTGCTAGTGAGACTGCCACTGCAGGTACTCGCGTGTCTGCCACCTCAGGTGATGGTGAGGCTGTCGCTCTAGGTGCTAGTGAGTCTGTCTCCCCTGGTACTGAGTCGACTGAGGCACTGCACACCTTCACCCTGGACTCAGGTGCTTCTCGCTGTTTCTTTCGTGACCGCACTGCCCTTGAGCCGCTTGCTCGGCCAGTTGCTGTCTCCCTCGCTGACCCCTCTGGGGGTCCGGTCATTGCGACCTCCTCCACTGTTCTTCCTTGTCCTGCGGTCCCGTCGGGCACACTGTCTGGTCTCCACCTCCCCTCGTTCTCTACGAACTTGGTGGCGGGTTGTGCGCTCCAAGACGCGGGTGTTCACCAGTTCACCCCTGCCTACGAGCTCGTGATACAATGCACGTGTGCTCGGACGGGCCGTCACCTGGCTACCTTCACTCGGCAGCCGGGGTCGGACTTGTACACACTGACCACTGAGTCCCCTCAGGTCCCCACACCTGACTACCTTCACGGCTGCGTCCGCGTCCGCGTTTGCGTCAGGTCAGCTGTCTGCCCCCTGCTCGTGTCGCTCTCTGGCGCACGACACCGTCCTCTGGCACCACCGACTTGGCCACCCGTCTGTGCAGCGCCTTCGTGCCATGCACAAACGGCACCTTGTCTCTGGTCTTCCCAGGGTTCTCCCTCCCCTCCCACCCTCGCCTGCTCCTCCCTGTCTTCCCTGTGTCGAGGGGCGGCAGCGCGCCGCTCCTCACTCCTCCTCGTTTCCCCCGACGACTGCTCCCTTGCAGACGCTCCACATGGACGTGTGGGGCCCAGCCCGCGTCCGTGGTCAGGGTCAGGAGAGGTACTTCCTGATAGTTGTTGACGACTACTCGCGCTACACCATGGTCTTCCCCTTGCGCACCAAGGGTGAGGTCCCTGATGTTTTGATCCCTTGGATCAGCAGAGCCCGTCTCCAGCTAGGCAAGCGTTTCCGCTCGGACTTTCCTGTCCTGCGCTTGCACTCTGACAGAGGTGGTGAGTTCTCCTCCGACCTCCTGGCAGCCTACTGTGCCGAGCACGGCATTGAGCAGTCGTTCACGCTTCCGGCCTCTCCACAACAGAATGGGGTTGCTGAGCGCCGCATTGGCTTGGTCATGGAGGTCGCTCGTACCTCCCTGATCCATGCGGCTGCTCCCCACTTTCTGTGGCCGTTTGCGGTCCGATACGCTGCGCATCAGCTCAACCTCTGGCCCCGTGTCTCCTTGCCGGAGACTTCTCCAACACTGCGTTGGACGGGAGAGGTTGGCGATGCGTCGCGTTTTTCGGGTCTGGGGATCCCGCGCTTTTGTTCGCGATACGTCCGCGGACAAGCTCTCCTCTCGCGCTGTTCCTTGTGTCTTCCTTGGCTTTGTCCCGGACGCGCCTGGTTGGCAGTTTTACCACGTCACCTCGCGCCGGGTTCTGCCTTCTCAGGACGTCACTTTTGACGAGTCCGTCCCCTTCTACCGCCTCTTCCCCTACCGCACTGCCCCGCTCCCCCCCCGCCTCTCTTCCTCGCGCCAGGTGCTGCTGTGGTAGACCCCCTCCCCCCTCAGGGTGCCGCTCCCTCAGGTGTGTCCCAGGTAGACCCGGTTGAGCCTGTCGAGGTAGCTGTCGACTCTCGTCCTGCTAGGGGTACTGAGCCTGAGCGTGAGGAGCCTGACGGCACTGAGCCTGGGGGTGCGGAGCCTGGGGGTGCTGAGCCTGGGGGTGCTGAGCCTGGGGGTGCTGAGCCTGGGGGTGCTGAGTCTGGAGGTGCTGAGTCTGGAGGTGCTGAGCCTGAGAGTGCTACACCTGGAGGAGCCCTCTCCTCCCAGCAGCTGCAGGAGAGGTACCTACAGTACTGCCGCCTCCGGAGAGGTGCTGCTGGAGCTGGTACCAGTGCTTCCCCTCCTACCCGGGAGCTCCCCTCCCTTCAGCAGATCCGAGAGTGGTACACGCGGCGCTGCAGTCTTCGGAGTGGAGCTCCTGGTGCTGCGGACCCTGGAGGTGGAGCTGCTGCTGGTGCTGAGGACCCGGGCGGTGGAGCTGCTGCTGGTGCTGAGGACCCGGGCGGTGGAGCTGCTGCTGGTGCTGAGGACCCGAGCGGTGGAGCTGCTGCTGGAGCTGAGGACCCGGGCGGTGGAGCTGCTGCTGGTGCTGAGGACCCGGGCGGTGGAGCTGCTGCTGGTGCTGAGGACCCGGGCGGTGGAGCTGCTGCTGGTGTTGAGGACCCGGGCGGTGGAGCTGCTGCTGGTGCTGAGGACCCGAGCGGTGGAGCTGCTGCTGGTGCTGAGGACCCGGACGGTGGAGCTGCTACTGGTGCTGAGGACCCTGGCGCTGGTGTCTCTGCTAGTTCTGGAGACGCTGCGCGGCCGCGACCGTACTTCGTACCGCTCCTTCAGCAGGTTCTTGGTCAGGCTCCTCCTCCTTGTCCTCCTCCCTCCTTAGAGTGTCCTCCGCCTGTCCAGTCGCAGTCACAGTTACCGCCTACCTCGCCTCTCCCTGGTCCCTCTCCTTACACTGGTCCCACAGGAGGTCTTACGGAGCGTCGTGAGCCTGAGTCTCGTCCCGCGTCGCCTGTTCGTGCTGCTCGCACTGGTCGTCGTGTCCCACGTCCCCCTCCTGTCCCTGGCACTCACTACATGACGCTGCGTCCCTCCACTGCTCCTCAGCGTGTCCCTCTGCCGTCTCCTCCTGCGTCC